TTCCACTGTGTGTATGTACCATTATTTATCCATTCATCTATTGATGAGCACTCAGGTTGTTTCCATCTTTTTGCTACTGTGAATAATGCTGCAACACACATGGAGGTGCATGTGTCTATTTGTTATTCGTGTGATGGCTCTAATTTCTCTAGGATATACTCCTAGGAGTGGGATTGATAGACTGTATGGTATTTCTAGCTTTTTAAGGAGGTGCTGTATCGTTTTCCATAGTGGTTGTACCAATTTACATTCCTACTAGCAGTGCATGAGAGCTCCAATCTCCCCACAACCTCTCCAACATTTGTTATTTTCTGTTTTTATTTTGATTAATGCCAGTAATGTTGGGGTGAGATGGTATCTCACTGTAGTTTTGATTTGCATTTCCTCATGTGTCTGTTAGCTGCCTAAATATCTTCTTTGGTGAAGTGTATGTTCATATCCTTTGCTCATTTTTTAATTGGCTTATTTGCCTTTTTGTTATTGAGGTGTTGAAGCATTCTATAGAGTTTAGAAATTAGACCCTTGTCAGATATGTCATAGCCAAAACATTTTTCCCAGTCTGTAGGGTCTCTTTTTACTCTTTTGGTGAAGCTGGCTTGATAATTAAAAAAAAAAAATGTGCTTTAGGTGAAAATTTACAGAGAAAATTATTTTCCCATTCAATAGTTTGTACATAAAGTGTTCCATGACATTGGTTGCATTCCCCACAACGTGTCAATACTCTCCCCATTTCTGCCCAGGGTTCCCCGTTTCCTTTCATCGGGATTTTCTACACCTTCCTGTCTTCTCATCTTTGCTTTTGGGCAAGTGTTGTCTTTTTGATCTCCTATAATTGATTGTTTTAAGGAACACGTTCTTCTTGAGTGTTATTGTTTATTTTATGGGCCTATTGTTTGGCTGAAAGGTGGGCTCCAGGAATGGCTTCAGTTCCAGGTCGGAAGGGTGTCTTAGCACCATAGTCTCAGGGGTTCCTCAAGTCTCTGTCAGACCAGTAAGTCGGGTCTTCTTTGTGAATTTGGTTTTTTGTTCTATGTTTTTCTACTGCTCTGTCCAGGACGTTGTGATCCCAGTCAGAGCAGTCAGTAGTGGTAGCCAGGCACCATCTGTTTCCGGTTTCCGGGTAATGTAGGCTGTAGTTCATGTGGTTCATTAGTCCTATGGAATAACTGCTCCCTTGAGTCTTGGGTTTTCTTCACTCTTCTTCGCTCTGGATGGGAAGAGACCAATAGTTGTATCTTAGATGGCTACTCGCAAGCTTTTAAGACTCCAGAGGCTATTCACCAAAGTAGGATGCAGAACTTTGTCTTTATGAACTGTGTTGTGCCAGTTGACATAGATGTCCCCTGAGTCTACGGTCCTTCCCCTTCAAGCCTAGGAACTTTGCCCCAGAAGGTGTTTCGTTATGTCTAAGAGGTTGCCATGACTGTGCCCCTTACGTGCTCTAATGTCTATATTAATATACATGCAGCACCTACAATTATGTATATAAAAATATCCACAACCAAACCTGTATCTGCAGATTGGTGTGCTCCCTTGCACCCTCCCACACCTCTAACATATGTAACTACCTGTGTACTCATTGATAAATTATTGTTTGTTAATACTATCATTGTAGGGTTGTCTATGTAACAGTACCATAGTTGTCCTTTATTCATGCGTTCCTCTCAGTGCCTTCCTTTGCTTTTGTCATGTTGTGTTGACTTCCCCATATTGTGTATTGCCTTTCCTTTCACCAATATTAACATGAGTCTTCTAACTAGTTAGTAATTATCCCTCCCTGGTAGCCATCAAATAAATTTATTTTTTCTGTGTGTAAACCTCTTCTGGAGACCTGGTGGTGCAGTGGTTAAGAGCCATGGCTGCTAACCAAAAAGTAGCAGTTGGAATCTGCCAGCCACTCCTTGGAAACCCTGTGGGGCAGTTCTACTCTGTCCTATAGGGTTGCTATGAGTCGGAATCAACTCGAGGGCAACGGGTTTGGTTTTTTTTCTTTTTTTTTTGGAATGGCTAAAGATGGCGAGCATTTCTTCATGTGTTTGTTAGCCCCCTGAATGTCTGCTTTGTGAAGTGTCTGTTCATATCCTTTGCCTATTTTTAAATTGGATTTTTTGTTGTTGTTGAGGTGTTGAAGTTTTCTATATGTTTTAAAGAGTTGACCCTTGTCAGATATGTCCTAGCCAGACTTTTTTTCCCCGTCTGTAGATTCTTTTTACTCTTTTGGAGAAGTCACTGGTGAGCACAAATGTTTAATTTTTAAGAGGTTCCATTTATCTAGTTCATCTCTGCTGTTCGTACATTTTTAGTTACGTTTGGTATTCTATTTAAGCCATATATTATGGCCTCTAATGTTGTCCGTTTTTTCCTTCATGATCTGTATAGTTTAAAAAACAAAACACCTGTTGACATCGAGTCGATTCCGACACATAACGACCCTATATGACAGAATAGAACTGCCCCATAGGGTTTCCAAGGAGCAGCTGGTGGATTCAAACTGCTGGCCTTTTGGTTAGCAGCCAAACTCTTAACCACTACACCACCAGGTATCCTTTATTGTTTTAGGTTTTATATTTAGGTCTTTTATCCATTTTGAGTTAGTTTGTGTGTATGGTGCAAGGTGTGGGTCCTATTTCATTTTTCTACAGACATCCAGTTTTGCCAGCACCATTTGTTACTGTCTCTTCCGCATTTAATGGACTTTGTCCCTTTGTTGAAGATCACCTATCCATAGGTGGATTTATGTCTGGCTTCTCAATTCTGTTCTATTGGACTACGTGTCTGTTGTTGTACCAGTACCAGGCTGTTTTGACAACTGTGGTTGTATAGTAGGTTCTGAGATCAGGTAGTGTGACGCCTCCTACTTTGCTGTTCTTTTTCAACAATGCTTTACTTATCTGGGGCCTTTTTGCTTTCCATATAAAGTTGGTGATTAGTTTTTCCATCTCATTAAAGAATGCTGTTGGAATTTGGATAGGGATTACATTATATCCATAGATTGCTTTGGGTAGTATTGACATTTTTCACAATGTTAAATCTTCTTATCCATGAGAATGGTATGTTTTTCCATTTATGTAGGTCTCTTGGTTTTTTGCAGTGTTGGCTTGGTAATTGATAGATCTCATGGTACTGGCTAGAAAGGGCCTTAGAGAGCACATGCTCTCAAGGCCTTCATTCTATAGGGAGATGACTAAAGCTCTAGTCTTTGCCTTACTCACTAAAGGGCTGAGCCAAGAATGCAGGTCATAACTTTAGTATTCTTTACATTTCTACCATGCAGACTTATTTATGGAAGCACATTATAAACTCCTCAGGGAAATTCTTGGAAAGAATTTTGACAAGCTCTGATAGCAGTACAGGGGTAAAGAGCTATCATTAGATCCCTGTTTCCCAACTGGTCTTTCTAAGTAGAAAAGTCCTCCAGGTAATTATGATATTCACATGCCATGTTATCTGGTTTAATGCAATAAGTCTGAGTTTGATTTTGGGGTTACTTAAGTATGGAATAGGCTTTTTGCTACTGCATACTTTCATTATTTATTTTATATTGAAAGAAGTAGTGGTGAAGGATATGGATGTTTTGCTATAGAGAAAACTGATCTGTCATGCGACCTTGCCTTCTTGACAGATCTGATTAGACTAAAAATGGCTGACTAAATGGCCAGACCAATCAGATCATGTATCACAATTCAGTTGCCATAAGAAAACCAGTTAGTTGCTAATAAGCTCTAGAGCTCAAGGATTAGAGTCAGGGTCAAATTTAGCACAACTGCAAGTCTAAGCCTTAGGCAAACCAATTATGAGGCTGCAGAAATTCAGAATGGGAAGTTAGATTGCAGAGAGGAATGTCAGTCCCATGTGAACCAACTACGCTTTGTTTCCTGACTGTGGCTGTTTCTGAAACTCTTACACTTAAACAATAAAGTCTCCTATTTTATTGACATATTTTCAATGTGGGAAAATATTTTTTTCCTGGCACCAATACTTTCTAAAGGATAGATTGAATTTTCTCTGCAAGTATCTTTTTATCCTTAAACTTGATAATGTACAGATTGTGAAAATATTCAGTCTAAATAGCCATTGTAAGGACATTATGATTTATATATCACCAGAAAAAAAAGGAAAAGAAAAACATGATAGGTGCTCAATAAATGTTTGCTGAATGAATGAATGACAGTCTTGAGAGTAGAATTAAAAGGATTTTCCATTTCATGTTTATTATCAGTGCTTCAATACAGGACATTTTATAATGATAGTGACATGTGGACACCAACAGTTTTTTCACCAAATACCAAGTGCCAGTCTTTTCTGGTAAACATTGATTTTCCCCAAGCAAAATAACCGAATATAATTTCAGAAGATGGTGACACCATCAGCATAATTCACTCAAATCATGCACATCATTTGATGATTTGATAAAAAATTTTTAAAACTTCTACAAACTTTCCCAGTGTAAAGAGACTCCCAAAAAATGCATGATAAAATTAAAGTACAAAATCCACTTTGGAAAAGTAGGGAGTTATTTTTCTAATTTTGGGCTTTTTTTTTTTCAATCCGCTAAAAAATATGGTAGGGAGTGTGTTGAGAGAAGTGGAGAAAAAAGGAGCTTCCAGCTGATGGACCTTTTAATTATGGTGTTGGCAAAGAATACTGAATATACCATGGACTTCCAGAAGAATCTGTCTCGGAAGAAGTACAGCCAGAATGCTCCTTAGAAGCGAGGATGGTGAGACTTCATCTCACATACTTTGGATATTATCAGGAGTAGTGGTTAAGAGCTCAGCTGCTAACCAAAAGGTCGGTAGTTTGAATCCACCAGCCGCTCCTTGGAAACCCTATGGGACAGTTTCACTCTGTCCTATAGGAGTTCTATGAGTTGGAATCGACTTGACAGCAACAGGAGAGGAGGGATCAGTCCCTGGAGGACGTCATGCTCGGTAAAGTAGAGGGTCAACGAAAAAGAGGAAGACCCTCAACAACATGGATTGACACAGTGGCTGCAACAATGGGCTCAAACATAGCAATGATTGTGAGGATGGTGCAGGCCGCGGCAGTGTTTCGTTCTGTTGTACATGGGGTTGCCATGAGTAGGAAGCGACTCAATGACACCTGACAATAACAACTGATGGATTCAACATGTGTAAAAATACTTACGTAAAGGAAAACTTTGAGAGCAAGAATATGTTATAAATAAGACACTTTCAGACCAGGATGAACAAATAAGCAGTTTTTGAATCAATTGCTCCCATGGGAGAGAGATCTTCCTGATGAATGCTTATTTATAGAATCTTCTGTAAGATAGAGTTGGCTACTTCCAATGATTCATCTTTTACTAAAACAATATCGTAAGAGTCCATGTACTTTTCTAAAAGCTCATCCACCTAATCAACAGAAAACAAAAGTAAAATTAACACACAGGCAGGAGAAGCAGCAAATAACTTCAGTATGAATTTCACTGTTATGTTAGATCTGTTGGGCAAAGTGTAGTACATTTATTTCAAAAAACATCTGAAATGAAGAAATACTTTCAAACTTTTAAGACTCATTGACGTAGCATTTTCCCCAAAATGATTTTTCTCTAGTCCAGTGGTTCTCAACTGGGGTAATTTTGTTCCCCAGGGAATATCTGGCAAGGTCTGGAGACATTTTTTGATTCTTACGAATTGGGGGTGCTACTGACATCTAGTGAGTAGAGGCCAGGGATGCTGCTAAACATCCTACAATGCACAGGACAGTTCCCCACAACAAAGAATTATCTTGTCCACAATGTCAACAGTCCCAAGGCTGAGAAACTCTGTTCTAGTCTAATTTCCACAATAGAATTTGCTGAGAGGCCTCATTTAGAATGTACACCTTCTCTCCCCCCAATATTAATAGCATGCTTGTGTACATAACCAAAGTAAAGGAGTAAAGAGCAACCAAACCATCTCTAGAATAACTACTTTCTTAAGTGCCTTTGGCAACAATTACATATCAAGTTTCATGTTAATTTTTTCTTAGAAGAAAATTAAATGACAGATCTGTACTTACTCTATCATTTAGATATCCAATTTTCAGAATATGTTCAACATTGGTTACTCCATCTGCCATTCTTAAGTCTCCTTGGGAGTCTCCTAACAGAATTATGTTGCTGTTGTCTTTTAGTTGATTGAAATATTCTGTGTTCTTCAAGGCACCATCATGTTTGTTAAATACATGAATTAATTCTCCTTTAAATCCTTTGAGCACCCCCTTTTAAAAAAACAAATCTTTTGAAATAATAGCTTTTGACAATTATATTTGTTGTAGTTTCATATTTTGGAGTTCTTATCTTAATAGATGCCACTATTATTAGGAACATATTTATAAATTTATCTTGGACTATAGTGATCTCAAAAGCACTTATATCCAAAACATTCACGATAAGTAAAAAGGGCTCTGAGAAGAAAATGAATTTCTAGAGACTTCTTTAAATGATAAAATACAATGAATTGAAAATCTAATTTTAAATATTCATTTTATTCCTAACAAAAAGATTCCACTTTTTGTATATCATAATAGGCTATCTTGACTAGAAAAATCCACGTTTTAATAATACTGGTTCTAATTCACTTCTTTTTCCCCCCATGGATGTTAAGTTTTCAGAGTTACTTTATTAAATTGCTATAAAAGAAGTTTTATTAATTTTAATATTAGTCTATAGCAAGGGGAACAAAAGTTTAAGAAAGGCTGTATTATTTTTAAAACATGGGTATAGCACTGGGAAAGATAATGAGTCCCTGAGCAGCCTATCAACTTGGCCTAATTTAATGAACATATTAAATACTAAGTAACAAACGCATTTAAATGATTAAAATATTTTCAGATTACATGTCATAATAAAGAATGATTTGGTATTCTTACATTTTCATCAAAATCCATGAAATTGGACACTACTTTGACATTTGGATGATAAACACCAGCTTGACGGATAACTTCCTCTAATACATCACCAATACCAGCTGAAAATATGAACACAGGGATACTGTGTTGTTGGAGTTTATCGAAGAAATTTTCATATCCTTCCCTGCAACATGGAGGTACAAACTGATCATTAAAGAGCAAGCTGTATCTCCTTTCACTTAGAAGTTAAAAAAAACTAAATCTTTCTACCCAATTCTATGGCTTATATTCTTATTTCAAAATACTGCCCAAGAGGGCTCTTATTGATATCTATGATATTATTAGTCGAAGTTTTTCACAACTGTTAACTCTTTGTCCAATTTCAATCCATTGGGCAATTTTTACACTCACAGTAATTATGGATACAAGCCTACAGTTCAGAATTTACACCACTTAACAGAAAAGTAATTAAACCGCACCTTGAAAAACCCATTTTGGGGAGAGCCCGCTTGTCTACTCCCTACTGTTTCCTATTAGGAAAGCAGACCCGCAGGGATTTAGCTGTGTTCTTTCTACATCTGGCATCTCTCCTTCCTAAGATCTGGGAGCTGGAGGTAATACTTGATCTTAACAGTTTTTCTTCCCTTTTTACTCTTCCTGGTAACTAAACAAAGCTGTTGCTGCCTACAAAGGAATGGAATACTAACTGCCCTTACAACTCTAAGAATTTAATGCTTTCCTACTTAGAAATAGAGCATCTTAAAATGCAGCATCATCATATTTGCCTAAGAAGGTGAAAATTTTAAAAGGTGGTAAAGAGTATTGAAAATGAGCTTAAAGATTTTTATATCTTATACATTTATGCATTATGAATATTTTAATTATTTGCTAAAACACATTCACCTTCCTAGACAGAGTTTTCAAGGGAGTTTGAGAATTCAGAAAGTAGATTCATGTAAATTTAGAAAAAGGGTAGTTGGCTAAATCCTTTTCTACTTGATTTATAAACATTCCTTCCATATTTCATGTTGTCCACAAAAATATTCTGCAAGAAATTTGAAAATGATCTTGGCTTCATAAATTTGTAAGTTAGTCTTACAATGTTTAATCTAGAAAAAGGAAATGCAAATTAGTACTTAAATCTCATTAAGCCTCTTATTCTCTACACCAAGATCTAACATGTTATTCTAAATTCCTTATCTCATCTCACCACTATCTGTTTTGTAATAGGTGGCATAATCTGGATGTGTTTTTAGGTGGCATAGTATTATAGATTATTTTAATAAAAATACATATTTGGATACATATATAACAATACCTCAAGTTTATAGACAACAACAACAAAAAACACCCAACAAACTTACTTGAGCATAACATCAGATTCTTCCACAATTTCTTTAAGTTTAGCTTTTGGTAAAGCTTGTTCAACAAGTAAACCATGTGACTTAGTATACCTGGAGTTTATGACCAAAAAAAAAGAGAATATCAATTAAAGCAAAGTAAAACTACTACCTTTATTACAATGTATTCCCCTGTGTGAAAAATGCAGTGTTTCATTCATCGTGTGTATTTCTGGATTTGGATTTTACAGACTTAAATTCATAACTAATGGATGTATACATACCTATGTGTCTCAAAGTGTGATATGGAAATTCTTATTGCATTTCTTAGTTCTCCCAAACTCTGACTTAGCTTAAATATGTTCATAATGTAATGAAAGGAAGCTAGCTCTAAATCTTTTCTTAGTCTACAGGTAAGTGCTGAGTCTAACCTAGGGCGACATAACCATTTGTATGATTGAGATAAAAAGAATTACAGCAAAGTCACTTTTTCCATCTGTGTGTAGTTAGAATTTTCATGAAATGCCTAAGTACTGAAGATGCTGCCTAGTGAGTAAGAAAGAAGAATCCTTGTTATGGTAAGTTTTTGTTTTTTTTTTTAGATTGTACTTCAGGTGAAGGCTTACAGAACAAATAATTTCTCATGAAACAGTAGTACACATATCGTTTTATGACACTGATTAACAACCCCACAACATGTCAACCCTCTTCCTTCTCAACCTTTTTTTTTTGGTGAAAATATACATAGCCAAAGATATACCATTTCAAAAATTTCTACATGCACAGTTCAGTGACATCGACTATGCGCCTCCAATTAAGCTGCTATTCTCACTTTAGATGAAGGCTTACAGAACAAAA